ATAAGTTTTACTTCTGAAAAAAAAAAATAGAGCAATAATTTTGCTATGAAACAAGCAGAAATTTATGAAATAGTTTCCGGAATTAAATTATCATTTTAAAAAAATCGTCATCATTTACATTTGATAAGTTAGTTAACCATACTCTGCTTTTCCGATGATTCATATCCCGTCCTCGTCCATTGTTTAATCTATCATGCTTTCCCAAGATAATGCTAATGCAGATTGCTATTTCTCCGGTTATTTACTTTCTCTGTCTTTTTGCTGTTTTAACTGCATTGCATGTTGAAAATGATTGTAAGGTAGCCTACATTGCTTAGGCTAAATTAAACATTATAAGCACTCGACTCATTATTACGTATTTTTCTTTCTCTCTCCTTCTCTCAAAGAATATTCACATTTATAATGTTTGTGGAATTTGTATGTTAAATTACATTACGATCAAGTCATCATCATTTGCATATTAGCATGCATTGTATTATTATTAGTATATGATAATCTATCTGTGATCTTATTACCTTATTTGTTCGACTTGTTTTTTCATTATTTTTTATTCAGTTCATATCTGGCTAAAAATAAAGTCTTAGGCTTGCCTTTGCAATCACTCTAAAGTGAACTTTAATTAAAAAAGAAAAAAAAATGGATGGAGAGAAGAGCTCATCATACATCGCTTGCTTCGTCATTTTTATTTTCATCTATTCCATTTATCATACTGACATAATTAGGCCTAGAAATTGGTCAAAACTAAAATGAGACCAAGCATTTGTTTGTATTAAACAGTAAATATTCATTACTGGGCTTTGTTTTAGCAAAAATCTAGCTAATATATAATTCTCTTTTTTTCTCTCTCTCTCTCTCTCTCCTTCCTTTTTAAAATGTTGTAAAGCAGAAATTAATTTCAAAATATACAAAGTGGTAATTGCTTTTCCACTCTTCCTCATTCTCGTTTCTTCTTCTTTGTTATTTTTCATTTTTTCATTTTTATTTTTTGCAAATGTCTATATTCAAATATTATGCATGCGTTTTTTTATTTATGGCGAAAAATTATCAGTATTGAGATAACAATGAGTTTAAAATCGTTTTAAAGCACATGTTTAGTAGCAAAAATTTTTTAACAATGGAAAAAATTGAAGAAAAAAAATAGAGAAATAAATAGTATTTTAAAATTCTGAAACTAATGAATAAGAGGGGATAGTAAAATGAATTGAGGAGGATTTTTTTTTCCAATTTACTAAGCTGCTAAATTTGATTGATCTGTTATTTTTCTTGATTATTTTTCTGTTTTAATTAAAAAAATGAATTTAGGCTAAATTTGGGATTTTCTTGTGTTTGCAGAAAGTTTTCATTCTTCAGTTCACTATTATTTTCAATTTTATTACAAAATTTTTATGCACTACCTTATCAAATATTGTATTGAACATAATGTTTGTGGAAAAATGAATGCCTTAAATAGTAAATTAGGAATACAAATTTTAATTTTCTCCTAACTTTTATTCATTTTTTCATTTTTCATCAAGTGCTATAAGTTTGTATTTTATTTTATACCTCGAAAATTTAATAGTATTTCAATATCCTTTTTTACATTTTTTCCAAATTATCCATTTAAAAATCACATTCTGAATTATTGTTTAATCATTTAATCCCTTTTCTGATTTCTCTTTCGCTTTTTGCTTTTTTTTTTATCACTCTGTTTAATTAATTTCTATTCAGAAAATATCTCCCTTAATTTTTGTCATATATTAAAATAAAAAAAATGAAAAAAGTACAAGATATTTTCATTCGTCAAACTGAACCTTTTAGAAAAAAAAACTGAACTTTTTAGAAAAAGATAACAAAAATAATGTTTTGATAATTTTACAATGAATTAAAACTAGTCATTGATTAATTATTAATTAAGCTACTAATGAATATTGCATAAATTATAGTCATAATGTTACGAATTAAATTATAGAAAAAAATATGTAAAAAAGATTATATAAATTACAATATAAAGAGAAAGCCACTTCGAATGCATAGAGATAGTATTAAAAAATAGTTAAAGCTAAATTTCAAAGCAACAAATGGCAAAATTTTTTATAGTAGCTAAAATTACTTTTGAAATGCTCATGTTTAAATTACTTTCCTCTCTGCTATTCGTGTATTTTTCCAAAACAAAACTTTTGTTTTTTGTTTTGAAAAACTTTTTATGCTTTCTACGCTTTTATTAATAATAAAAAACATTAAATTTGTATCTTATAATTAAGTTTTACAGATTTAATACAGTCTCTTGCTGTAACTTCAGTGGTGTTTTTCAAAAAGTTATGTATAAAAGTTAAGCATTAAAATTTGCCAAACAATTGCAGTAATTCAATATAAAATATTTCCATACGATTACTTAAACAGTCACTGTAAAGCGGATATGATCTTTATGAATTCCATGATAGAGACTTACAGTGTGCTCATCCGTTTATCTTTAACCAGTTTTAATTAAAATATACAAATGTACCAGAACATTGAAATTTCAATACCATTCTAACAATTTTGGGAATAAATTTCACTGCCCGTAATAAAATTTGTCAAATTTAATGGCATCGTATGTGAAGAAAACTACAAATACATATATACATTTAAGCAACAGAGGATATTTTCGATATTCTCAGAGATTTTCACCTGAATATCTCATTACATTTGATTAAATATGCATAAAAATGTCATCTTAAATTAGCATATTTAACAGGATCAGATATTATTATACATTTTTTTTTTTGCTCCTTTTTCAAAAAACCACACAGACATTTTGCAAATTTCACATGTACAAAAGTTGATTGGTGACACAGTTTTGAAATAAATTTCAACCAATATATCCGTTTCTTTTTTGTCTCGATTTTTTCATCACATTTTATAAGAAATTATATGCTGTAAATAATTTTTTGAATTTTTCTGTTAGAAATGATTGAAAGTTTTGCTTTTTGTCATTTTAAAACTCAAGTTTTTTTTCGAACTGGTTCCATACATTCGAGATTGTTTTTTTTTCACAATATTTAATGAACGTTAAAGTTATTCATCTAAAATAATTTTTAACTATTTCTTTGTAAAATAAAGCAGAGGTTTATTACTGAATTAAAATTACTATTTAATAAATAGTGGATGGATTGAAATAGAAATTCAATTTTGAACTACATAATAGTAAACTTTTATTGTTTGATATATTTTTCATGTGCCTCAATTTTGTAATTTTTATTGTAGTTTTTTGCCTAATATCATTTATTGGAATCATTTATTCTTCCAGGTGGCAAAAAAATATTCCAAACATTATGCCATAATATACTGTACGTTACAGTAACGGTGACATGCTACAGTAAGCTATAGACTATGATTACATCAAAAATTAGCAGGGATGTTGAAAGGAACCAAATAAAAAAGAAAAGAAGGTATCAGTAATATATTTGTAAAATTAAACTAAAGTGGTGGCAGAAGATTAAATGGAAACAAGATTTGGTGACATTTTCAAATGAATAACCAACCATTTGAAATATGCAACCGGTTATAGTATGAGGATAGCTGTTTCCTTTTATAAATTCTATTTTAAAATTAGAATTTGTTTTAAAATAATTATAGAGGAGACATTGAATATAATTTTAATTAATTACCAGTTAAGTTACGTCTTTTTTCTTAATGGTTATTATTCGAATTGCATTTGTTTTTTTTTATTTAAAAAATTGATACATAAATAAAATAACATTCAAATTTATTCATTTAAATTTTTCGTATGTTTTTAGGCCTTATTTATATTCGAATTCTTTGAAAGGAATTTTTTCATTTAGTTTGCTTTTAATTGCACTGTCAAAATGTTTTAATTACCTGAAATTTTTGTTTGCTATCCCAGTTTAGTCTATTTTAAATAAATGAAATTTCTCTGTATTAAAGCTACTGAAATGTTAAAAAGAAGTATAAAAAAAAATTCTATAAACTGCTAAACTCAAAATTAGCATCATTCACATATCTTTTTGCAGTTGCATATGAGATTTAACGTAAATCAAAGTTTATCCACAATTTCATGGGATAAAGAGAAATTTTTTAGAAAATGGTAAGGCAAAGACAGAATATTTTTGTGTGATAGCAATTTAAATAAAAGAAGTCAAAGAAATTTTAGAGAAAATTATCTGACAAAATTTGGATCGAAAAAATGAAAAAATAAATAACAAACATAAATCATTTGAGATATTTGATAAATTAACTTCAAATAAAGCAATTGCTCGAATAATAAAGTTTAAATAACTTTGTTTAAAAATATTTGCTGTTCTTTCTCGCAAATTTTCTTCAAGATAGATATTAATCTAAAACAAAAATATTTTCATCGGAGATACTCCTGAAAATTATATTTAAACTAATTTAAAAAAAAATGAATTTAATTTTGTAGAAAGCTATTTTTTAATTTCATAAAACGAGAAAATAAACGAATGAAATGGAATTTTTTATTTGTTAAAATTAAACTTTTACATCATCAAAAAAAAAGAATCATTAAATAATCTTTTTGCTTGGTTCTCATTAATTTTGTTGAAAAAAGATTATTTTGTTTTGTTATCTGAAATGTGTGAAAAATTCAAAAATAATGAGTTTTGATGAAGATTGCTGCTAGATTGAGGAAATACTTATTGATTTACAATAACTTTTAGGTAATAATTCATGTTTAAAATACAAATTCACGTGCCATACTTCTTTGATTAAAATTTCAACTTTTTTAGGCGATTAGATTAAAATTGTTGTTACATACTAAAAAAATTTAGAATTGTTTTCGAATGCGTTATTTGTTACATTTTAGCAGCAATATTATCATTACAAGCGCAGAAACCTAATCTGATAAATAAGCCAATCTTGAAGAGCTCAAAAATTAGAAACCGCTTGATCTACACTCCATAATTCCATATATATTTTTCTTTTACTATACTTATTCGATAAACTTTTCCGTCTCGAGAATTTCTTTGCTAGAAATATCGAATAACTTTTAAGATAATCATCACTTCATGAATACATCACCGCCAATATCAACTGTTGCCATGGCAAGCTATGATCAGTTTCATTTATCGACCACCGAACGACGAATTCGAAATCGCAGTTTGTGTAGCTTACTTTGGACTCCACCACTCTATCCCGGTTACTCAGCAAAACTCGACAAATCACTTAAATCCAATTTTTATCAAAAACAATGGAAATCTACCGTATCCGAAATAACAACCTTATCAAATCCTGTATCACCTAACTGTACGACTAATCCTGATTTTCACTCATCTTCAACTCAAAATCGAAATATGATCAATGCAACTTATCCATTTAAGGTATAGAAATTTAAGATACGGTAATTTAAGGTATGGTAATTTAAGATATGATAAAAAAGGTACGATACTTTATGTATACAATACATATATAAATCCACTTTATATTATAATTCTCATCATAGCTTGATAGCTTAATAAGCTATCAAGCTATGATGAGAATTGTGAAAGAAACAATTGATAGTTTTTACGCTTTCCCAGCAATTACTGCAGCTAACCCGAGGATTATCTCGGGAATTACTTCAATGCTAATTATTTTGTAATTTCAATAAAAAATAAGTTATTTCAAAACATACAATAAATATTTTATTCCACTATTTGTTTTTTCCATTTTGCTAGCATTATATTTTTAAAAAAATTGAATTTTAATTAAAATGTTTATTGGAAAACAGATGAAGAAAATAAAACGAAAAAAATTTAGCGTAAAATGCCATCACAATTGCAGTCATCAGAAAATGAGGATATTGGTTGGAATAGTCCAAAGAAGTATACAAATTCAAAAGAATCATCCGGTTATGGTTCCGGAACATCCGAATCAGATCTGGAAAATGAGCAACAAACAAGGAAGGTTATCATTTATCAAATATATCACGTATTTTATTTTACATCAAATATAGAGTAATAAAGTAAGCTTCTAATCACTCAAATTTTTAGCAACATTAAACATTAAATTGAAAGTAAAAATAAGACTTGATTTTTTTACAAATTCTAAATCATTAGAAATTATTCTAGCCTATTATTGTACAATTTTTACATTACATCTACCATTTTAATGTTTAAAACTTAAACTTTCAAAAACTTAAATTTTTGATAGTTTACTCTTATACGATTCAAAATCATTAAAGCTGTAATTTAATCAAATTCCATGAAAATGACTTAATTGGATAAATAAACTAAATTATTACAGTTATAATATATGGTATGATAATAATAATGATAATAATAAGCTGAAATAAATTTTAGATTCAAATCTATTCGTTGAAAATTTAATTCAATGAATGATCAATTCAATCAAAGTCTTTTTATCATTTTTTTCTATCATAAAAATATAAATGTCATGAAAATATTAAATATGTATAGATAAATGCTTCTTTCTAATATATTCATAAATTATTCGCCATTTAATCAACTTTCTCAATAAAATTTTCTGAAAAAAATTTTTCTTTTTATCAATAATTTACAATTTATGATCATTTTCTTGCATTTAGCAAAAATGAATGATAACTTATTTGTATGTAACTCAAAATTGTAACTCAAAACTATAAAAACCGGACAACATATCAAACTAATTTTCTAACTAATAAATGTGATAATATCAAAAGTTTAGCAAGTTGAAAATAAAAATGAAAATTATCTGTGAATTGAAAATTTATAAAAATGAAAATTAAAAACTTTTTTGTTTTATTCCATTTTTTTTTTTTGCATTTTATTTTATTTTATTTCTCTGTTTCAGACTTTAGAAACAGTTACTGATTCTTCTGATACTATTACCAATATTAATAGTAATCCGTCTTTTACGATGAATGATAATTGTGATGATATTTTTGAAAAACAAAAAATTGAAATAGTTGGACGAGCAACAACACGTTCACCAATAAGGCAACAACATAACCGTCAGCATACGGTTTGCCTTTTTCTTTTATTCATGATAATAATGTAATAGTGATAATAATATAATAATAACAGCTGATATTATATTAACATATTATATCAGTCCTTATCAGTAATTTCAGCTACTATTTATCAATGCTATCAATACTATTCAGATGATATCACTCTTATTTTAGCATCAAGCATTAACAAATTATTTCATTTTTTTGTTAATTTTAATTAGACGATCGGTAATTTTTCAGATGGCTTCAATAAATACTAGTTTTCTTTTATCAAAGTTTTTAGAAAGCAAATATAATTTATGTAGGCGTATCATTTTAAGATCATTTCACACAAGATATCATATCATTCTTTTAATATGATGATGATATGATATGGTCCGGTGGATTAAATAAATTTGTAGATCTAGCTAAAATAAAAATTCTCAAAATTGTAGTTGTGTAATTTGATGAGTAATATGAATGATAAAAAATGATTGATAATTGTCAATCAAAAATTAAAAATAAAAAAAAATAAAAAATAGCAATTATGATGAATAATTGTTTAGTTAGAAAAAAATAGACGACGAAGTGTTCCTGCCAATCTTCGTAATGCTTTTACAGGTAATTTTTATCAAATTCATTTATTGTTAGCTATTTAGCAAATCAATCGATTAATCATCTTCATCATCATCATCATCATCCGGTTTAGGAAAATTTTAAAATGATTGCAGCGAACATTAGCAAGCATTTTTTCCGTGGTTATTAATATTAAAGAAAAAGTTGCCTGTACCAGTTTATCATTACTTTTGGGAAATGAAATGAATAATCGTTCATCATTGATGAAATGGTAGCAATTATTGATGCTAATTCATGATAATTTTAAAATGATTTCCTTGTAAATTCAACATTATGCTTCAAATTTGAAGTAATTTGAAGCATTTTTTTTTCGAAAAAAAAAATTGAAATTTTCTAATGCTCATTTAATGTCTTCATCTATATAATAAATTGTTTAGTATAAATTTTCAATTTTCGTTATCAGAAAAAGTTCAATTCACTCCAGCAGACATTGATAGAATTTTAAGGATTTAATTTCAGATTTAATTAAATACTTCGATGTATTTTTCAGATGAAATTGCTCGCGTACTTGAAATCAACGGTGTTTTTCAATATGAAACAGATGCGGTAGGCTTTTTTGATTGTGATTATTGCTGTCATTTATTATCCAGCAATTGGTCCCATTTATTATTAGGCATTAATTAATTAACTAATTAATTAAATTTGCGAGCAAAAATAA